ATCTCTCTTTCTGTTCACCTCATTAATTCGCTGCGTCCACGCGGGAGTTCTCCAAATATGTTTCCACATGTCGTTACACCCGCGATACGCCGACGATCGGCAATCGGTCCGGATGACGCAGCTACGACTCGACATTGAAATTCCATTGTCGATCGGCTTATCTTAATTTCTGGACGGTGCGCAAGTGTGCAAACAGGCCGCGTAAACGCGTCGACACGCATGCCCGAGTACATCTCGCGACGATGATGGCGTTAGCTTTCCTTGTTTTTCCGAAAATAGTGATTACCGTGCTCGGGGAAACAAAGAGAGCGCGGCGTGCGCAGTATCGCGGATTGTTTTTCGCGGTAGTATTTACGGACGATGCGCTAAACAATCGTCTGACAAGTTCAAGATACATTTAAACACAACAATAATTTGTGCATTGGCAGACTTTATTATAGGTTTATTGTGCGTCTCTTATTATAATATACACGGAAATAAGTGATTTCATTGCCGCAGCTGATAATGATTTGCCGAAAGTATATTTGTCGTTGTATGTAACCAAAAATTTGCTGCTTTAACTAAAGCTTCTGTCACTGTGTTGCCACTACGTCGATTTCACAGCAAATATATGCTTACTGGCAGTTATATTCTTGTATATCCATATGTTTTCAACGATATTTGGCTATCATACGCGGATTCTCGCTGTCGTAGCTCTTTTTTTTTTCTTGCAGCTATCCATCTTCCCGCAATCGTCACAGCGCTAAATAAATATTTATTTATTTATTTGTTTATTTATTCCGTGTAATTTGCGCGTCGTGGTCTCGACTTGTTCCCTCGAAGAGAAAGAAGTCGTTCAGACGTTAATTCTTCACGTATCACTAAAAAACTAAAATAGTCCGTCGGCTCTTCGACTCGTCCATACGTGAGACGTGCTCGTAAACTGAATCTCTCTCGTGTAACACCCCGGCCAATCACACCGCGATTCAGAGTGTTCCAGCGATAATTTAGTTTATTGGCTTTACCTTCTCTCGCTTCACCCTCTTCTACTCGGGACGGCCAAGTATTCGCTCGTTACATTGACCATAAGTTACTGTTAGTAATATCCTTTTCTCTCTCTTTCTCTCTCTCTCTCTCTCTCTCTCTCTCTCTCTCTCTCTCTCTCGGAGGGTGAACCCGGTAGGAACCCTATCGTTGTAAAACTACGAGTAATAACACTGTAACTCATTGTCAGTGGCCGGGCAATAACGCGGCGTCCCGCGGCGTCGAGCTGGTGTCGCTTTCGTGGAAACGTGCATTGTCGCGCGAAGAAAAGATACTTCTTGGCGCACGCTGATCCACGTTCATAGTCTCCTGCCTCCGAGGCTCGATTTACACCGTGGGCTCGGTTACGTTCAGTTACAGAAACGGAGAGTCTACTCCGAAATACGCGAGAGCCTCGCTGGCGGGATACAAACGACAGCAGCGACTCGAACAAAGCCGTACTGAAAATCCGTGATTGCACGATATAAAAGCAAATTTGACATTTCTCAACCTTGTAATTGTTTTTTCTTTCTAAAAAATATTATGAAAAAAATTTTTGAGTTTTAATCCGCGCAGTCATGTTTCATTAGACAAGCATATTTACCGAACATAATAAACGACATTTTATTTGTCGACATATTTCTAGATATATGTGTCTCACGATGCTGCAAAGAGCCGAGAAATATCACTTTATATCGCGGAATGTATCATATGCGTGAATCACAGGACTAATATTTAAGGGCACGGATATCCTCGGATATCCAGTGATCCCTTGGAATGCCGTTTATGCGGAATATGTGGCCTTCTAATCGGCGAGCATTATTAGCCGAGGATATTGGCGCTATCTATAAAGGTGAATAGTTGGGGATCGTTATCTGCGGCACGAACACGAAGAAACATAACTTCGTCGGGGCGATCGTTGCTTATCCGGCGGGATCGCGTAGGTGTTAAAGCGCGCGGTTCTCGCCCACTTGAATCGATTCCGAATGGACAGCACGATCGTTTCGTCCTATCGGGTGTCCTGTTAACTGTCGCGTCGTTAAGACGACCGCCGATCGGAAATTACGGTCTGCGGGTACCTTTCCCCGCCCGCCTAAATAGCTTTAGGGCTTTTTACGAAGCGTAACCGATCTTCAGTTTTGATCACCTACATGTGTATATTAAATTAAACGACATGAAAATTCACGTAAAAAACATGTCTCGCTGATCCAGGCAGAATTCTAAATGTTCACAGTGGAAATTATCACTGTTTCTTGTACTTGTTAGAAAATTTCTCGTAGTAGGTAGAATCTATAGCAGCAATATTCTAGTGATATCTGCAATATCTAGCAAATTTAGATGGATATGAAGATTATTCATTCGTTTGTCTCTCCCATTAGTTTTTCCTTGTCTACTGCAGTCTCTTTCATAAGAAATGTGACTAGCCTTGAAATTCAAATGGCGGAAGCCGCAGAGAGAGATTTTCTTGTTAAATTTTACAAACAGTTTCGATAGAACTTCTGCGTCTATCATTTGTATCGATTAAATACAAAACACACGCGATACTGCAGTGTTTGCTTGTCATTTATTCATCTTAGCGAATTTCTCGTATGTAGATAATTTCTGCTGTGACTGCAGGAGCATCCTTTCGAGTGTATTCTCTTCGCTATGAGTTTGGCAAGAGTTAGCTTCACGAATATTCCACTTTTGCTCCGTTCAGAAACATTTATCAATCAATTACTCTCCCAAAAATTACATTCTGTACTAATATTTCAACAGAAACTACGTTAGACTAAAGAACTCGACTGGAAGAAAGTGTAAATTGGGTTTGGTTAGCGCGCGCGGACCAAACTTGCTTACTTATCGAGTTTAACCGCGAGGAAACACGTTGTCAGTGAATAATTACGTTGCGTTTCCACGAAATTGCGCGACGTGAAGTGCATTAAACGCGTTGCTTAATCGGGAGAGGTGTTTTGCATTATTTCATAACTGGACGAATAACGTCGTCGGCGGGTTGCACAACGTCGTCGATGCACTCGCGCGACACGCGCGACACGCAATTCCGGCATCGCGTTCAATTGCCTCGAATACAATCGATCAATAAATATTTATGAGCGATTCGGGCTTGCGCTGCGACGACGCGACAGATGCACGCCTTGCCGTTTCACGTCGATGACGTCTACGCCGTCGAGGACGTCGCGGCAGATTTGGTGGCCGCTTAAGGTAACGCACGGGCCAGATTTCTTAATCAATGTCACCGCTGAGGAGATAAGAATCGAGCGAACTTAGGGAAATTGAATCTCTCGAGTTTCACACGCGCGGGCCAAGAATTTTTCGCAACGATAAATCGCAACGGTTATCTGAAAAACTTCCGAGTCCCGTAGTATCGTAATTTTACGATTCGATACCTCGAAACATTCCGAGTCGTTGTATAAACTTGGAGGTTTCGACCGTGGTGTGCATCGAGTTTCCCACTCCCGTAAGTTCATAAGTTTCATGAAGTCCCGGACTTGCGTAATCTCAACGTATGAACGAAGATCCATAAATCCGAAGTGACCATAAATCGTGGCGATCGTTAAACCCAGAGACGAATGTTTATTCGGGTAAAACCGCGTAATTTTTGATACGATCGACTTTAACGCCTCTCTTTCTTTTTTCCGTTTCTTTTTTTCTCTCCTCCTTTTCTTAAAAGGCCGGACATCGACGAATCCTCCCGGGACGTTGCAACATTGCGGGCCGGCGTGAAAGGGGAGCGTGCGTTGTCGGAGGTTCCCGTGGCGTTTATTTACGAGCGCGTTACACGCAATGTTAATTCGACAGATTTGACCGTAAATAACGCCCGTAAATACGCGCACGCGGAGACGTATATATTTATCTCGGTCTATAAAATTCAGAGTCTCCCGCCGGATGCGCGCGGCAGTTTAGGTGATGACTGAAATTTACGGACGCGACCTGAAGAATCGACGCCGCAAATTTTCAACGCGCTTCCTTCTTCTTTTCTTGTCTCTCCTCTTGTAGTCATCCACATCAGATATAGCGACAGCCGTGTGTGATATGTTTACCTACTCGTAAAGTTTTCCGTAATAAATGAATAAGTAAATATACGCAAGATGTAGAAGCTGTAAACGCGAACGAACTTTTAAGAACGTTTCAAATACACTGAGAGAAAAGATATATAAAAATAAGAAATATTTGTATAATATTTTTACTCGGTAGATACTAATATAGTATATTTATTTAAATTTATTTACTTAATCCTTCGAGCGCGCTGTGATACAAATTTGATTTTTTCAAAAAGTGATTTTTTCAGAATACAATCAAATGTAAATCAATTTTTCACTCTTTCACTACTTTTTTATCGACTCTTATAACGTCATCGCCAAATTTCGAATCTTCTTTTTTTAAATTAAAAGAATAAAAAATTGGTACAAATTTGGCATTTTCCGAATATGTACGCTCAAAGAGGGTTAAGTATAATAAATAATAAGTTTTAAGAAAGTTTTGAGGAAATGTATATTTTCGTATTTGAAAAACATTTTATATATTAGAAAGTAAACACCCAGACAACATAATATCTAAAATCGGGACATAAGACGTCTTAAAGATAATCTTTAAGACGCTTTAAAGACATTTATATGTAAATCGTCTGAAAGACATCTTAAAGATGATCTTTAAGACGTCTTATGTCCCGATTTTAGATTATGTTGTCTGGGCATGTGTTATTAGTACTCTCTACAAATAAGTATGTTTTAATTCTCAGATATTTTTGCTCACAGTGCAGCAGAGAGTGACACATTGCGTGCAGGAAACAAATTTATATTTACTACGGATCACTTTCCCCTTACTAAAGATCTCTCACTCTGATAAAGACGAGGTGTCCCGCATTAAAATAGTGATATCCTCCATAGCTGTCCCCAGGCAAAGACACGTCGAATTAAATCCGATTCTTGATTCCCTCTCCCCCTCTGTCTCTCCGTTGATTGTCGTAGTGATCGATGTGTTCTATCGATTTGTTCCAGGAGAACGGCTGCCTGTACTCGCACATACGATGGGGCGAGGCCTTCGTCGTGGTCTACAGCGTGACATGTAAGCGTAGCTTTCAGGAAGCCAGGGGACTTCTCAAGCAACTCGCGGATCTACGCCTGCCGTCCTATTTCACCGCCCTCCTGCTCGGCAACAAGAGAGATCTGGATCACGCTCGGTAAGCGTAAATCACATTGTTACAAATATGATTAACGGTCTCGTAAGAGGCGGGCGTGCACTGGCGGTAACGTCCGATGATCCTCCAGCCGGCGGTGATATACGAGCAAATAAAACGCGCGTACGCGCCTCGCTCCGGGCGCCGTAAAAACGGTAATTATTAATAAATCAACGGCGGCGCGATTTTTCGCCGCTTAATCGGTGCGGAGATACGTCCTTCCGGATCGTGTGTTTGCGATCTTGTTTATCCCGCTACGCTCGATTACGGTCGAGCTCGATTGTCCTCCGTTGAGTTATGAGTCGTCGGCGGAGAACTAGATGAAGCCGCTACACGGAGTCGACTCGTTTCTGTACGTCGCCGAGTAATTATTATTGTCCACGGGTCAGCCGTCGGCAGTCAGGACGAATGTTACGAAGCAATTTTCCCGCGTCGACAAAGTCGAGAAAAAAAAACGAATTGTGTTTATTCACGAGTAATGTCGCGCTTATGTTTGGCCCATTTTTCCATTCGACCTCGCAAGTCTGGCACACTTCGCCGATTGGCATCTTAAGGGGCTCTCACACGATCGATGTTTCTGTTAGTACCCCGAGTCGAAATTTCGATCCTTCTTTCGACCCTAATATTCCATTTAACCTCTACACTCTTAAGCCTGTATCAACATCTTTCGATCCTACTTAACCTACTAGTTTCGAGAGGCTCTCTTTAGAGCCTACACGTAGCATTTTTTGCGTTTTTTTTTGCCATTTAGAAGCGCTAAGTAGGACTTACAGTTTCTATGCGTATTAAACGTACACTGATCCTTCAGAATTAAAAATTCCGGTCAAAGTAGGACTAAAATTATGACTTGATTCAGATAAAAATTGTTTACCCTATTTTTCCATTTACCTCTACTTTGACACTCTGAAGCATATATATTAACCTCTATTGATTTTATTTAATCTACTAGCTTTGAAGAGAGATTCTTTTTAGAACTCGCTTAGGTGGCGCATTTTGCACATTTTCTACCATTTATACGTGCCAAGTAAGACTTCAGTTTCCATGAGTACTGCGCATATTAATCTTTCTTGATTCTACTTAACCTATTGGCGTTATCGAGAAGTTCTCTTTAATCCTACAAGTGGCATTTTCTTTCGTTTTGCGCCACTTAAAGACGCCAAGTAAAAATCAAGAACTTCAGTCTTCATGTGTATATATACACTTGAGATCCTTCAGAATAAGCAGATGATAGAGAATTCAGGTCGAAAGTAGGGCTAAAATTTTGGAGCTCAGGAGCTCATTAGTGAAATTCAAAAGAACTGCATCTAAGTGCGACATAGAATTTTTCTAAGTCTCAGAATTTAAAACATTTTTTAATGTCAACGAAAAGTATATCCAACATCGAGTATGGCGAATTTGCGAGAGATTACAGCCTCTAAAAAGTATTTATAGCAAGGAAGAATCGGCTTTGCCTGCCGGCGAAATGAACGAACAGCTAATTCCGGCGCTCTGTTTAGCGCTAAGCAGACGGCTGTCACGGCTACGATGCCGAATCTCGTTCTCTGAATTGAGATTTATAGGGACGCGAGTGGGCTTATACGACGCGACGATACGGATCGTATGAGGGCCGCTTAAGTGGCCGCTCTCGTCGCAAGAATTACAATATCATTTCGCGCGTCGCGCGATCTCCGATCGGCGACTTCGTCGTGTTTCGCCGTCGGCGAATCGTTGATTATATTCGATCTCGTTCCTCTTTCTTTCCTTTCTTCCCTTTTCTTCTCTTTTCTTCGCCGTCGATCGTTTATCCCGTCGACCGCACACGCGCGATTTGCCCGCACGCGCACGTACACACACATATGCATGCATGTGTGTTCGGCCTATTAATCCTGCAGTTCACTTTCCACCTGCGAGTAACAGGATCTTCGCCGACGTTTCCTAGACTAGGTGAGATTTCGCGTGCGCCACGCGATTTGCGTTTTTCCAGACGGTGCCCGCCGTTTTATTAGGTTGTTCCTGGAGTTTTGTTGCCCTTTGCGCGCTCGCTATTGCCTGGTGTAGACTTACTACAGACCGCTTACTCGCCGAGGAGGAAGCGGGGAACCTCGGTTCCTTCGTCTCCGAGACTTTCGATCTCGAACTGCGCGGACAGTTGGATTATATCGCAATATACAATGGGAAAAAATCTATTCTTAATTTAACCTCTTCTCCAAATGTTCTCAAAGAGTTTTCTGAAACGTGATTTTATCTTAAAAATTTTAACAATTTGTGTATAGGTCTTCCAAAGATTTGAAGACTTGTCATTACCGCGAATATGTCAAATAACAGTTTGAATATTTATACTGAACTAGCTATGTTACACGGCGTTACTCAGACTTGTATCTAGAATACCTGCAATCCTAAAATAATGCGATCATAATCTATATACATAATCTATATAACCCGGACTTGTATCTAGAACATCTAAACTTAAGGGGACTGGAGAGTCAGATTGTCTGAAAATCGTGCTTGTTTTTTTTCACAATTTTTTTATGACAAACTGAATGAATATACGAAAGTGTTATTTTGACAATACGCCGGGCGTATAAGTGTTATTTACACAACATATAAAGAGAAGAAAAATATAATTTTAATGATCAAATACTCAATATAAGTGTATGGTACATGCAGTTAAAATATATTTCGTTTTTCTTTTCAAGGTCGTCATTTTGCAGTAATATTTTGACTTTCAATGTGGGTCAGGTGGTTCAATTAAGCTGAATTTTAGGTAGAGAATTTTCATAAGCTTGTCGTGATCGTGTGAACCACTATAATAGAAATTGAGTAAAAGTTAACAAAATTGCAAACATCTTAATGGAATATTATTAAATTTTCCGTTCTTTTAAAACTTTCCGTTAGTAAAAAATTAATATTTCGAAATTAAATATTTTCACGAATTCACACGATAACGACAAGCTTACGGAAATTTTCTACCTAAAATTCAGCTTAATTGAACTACCGAGAATCAGGATATTACTGCAAAATGACGACCTTGAAAAGAAAAACAAAATATATTTTAAATACATGTATCATATACTAATATTGAGTATTTGATCATCAAAATTATTTTTTTCTCTTTATATGTTGTATAAATACACGTCAAAATAACACTTTCGCATATTCATTCAGCATATTTTGTTATAAAAAATTGTGAAAGAATAAGCACGATTTTCAGACAATCTGACCCTCCAGTCCCCTTAAATTATCGCAAAGTGTCTAGGGAATGAAATCAGAAGGACGTTGTCTAGATTTCGTATAACTTATATTTTCCACTTTAAAGTCCCAGAGGGAAACTACGCCAAATTTGGTACAGATCGGTCAAAAGGTTCAGGAAATTGATATGGAACATACGGTCAGATATCCTATTTTATGTGTATATAGATTATGATTGCATTTTTTGTATCTTGTGTGTGTGTATGTGTGTGTGTGTGTGTGTGTGTGTATCTTATGTCCTCGCGAATCGCGGAACCGGCGGGACTCGTTCTGGGAATTCTTCGACACCTCGAAATTTCCCGTGTCATGTTCTCGTTCGTGTGGGAAGGGGCTTTTTGCCCGGGTTTTCGCCGGCGTTTTCGCAAAAACCAGTTCAACGAACCGAACGATCGACCACACGACGGAGTAAGTTAATCGGCCGACTGGTACGTCAACTCTCCGGCGCGAACCGACTCATCCAAGTCGGTCAGGCGACTCGAGCAAGTAAACAGATCTTGGTGAGGTAAAGATCGCGTGAACGGTTTCTAGACGAGCAACGACGACAACGACGACGACTCGACCGCTACCGGGTGTCTCGAAGCCGCCTTGCGGTTTGCGCACGGTGGCCACGTGTCGCGTTTTATATATCGATATCGACGATCCGGCGGTTCGACATACAAACACGCGGATGGATAAATGAACGTCATAGAGAGTTGCCGATTAAAACGAGATATAGGTCGCGGGGGTCAAAAGTTCTTCTATGAACCTCTTCGATCGAATCTCTTAGAACTCTACGGGAGATTGGAGGACCCGAAAGTTCTTACTCGAGAGCATGAGAGATGTTTTTCCCAAAATTTATGTGAACAATAAGTCTATACAGAGTTTTACAGTAAAATTACTGTATAAAATTCTGCACCGAGAAATAGATCGACATTCTGAAGTAATTGATTAGTCTTTTATTTCATATGTGATATTTATATTTTAGACTTAAATGTGTTATTAAAAAATCTGCTAAGATTAATAGGGGAATGGTAGTCCTTCTCAATTAAACGAAAAAGATATCATGTTTGTAGAGAAATTTATTATACTCCTTCTTGACTACTAAAAACTTCTTGCATTACTAAAAACATAAATATAGTAGTAAATTTGAAAAAATTTATACGAAGAAAAAGCTATAATAATTTCTCCGTGTATGAACAGAATGTTCCTTTTTATTTTTCCGTGAAAGTGTTATATTGATCATTTAGCGCTGGGGATGCGCTTTGATGAAGTAGTTCTCGTGGTAATTATCGACCCGGTGGGTCTTCACACGACGAGACGATCGCACGCGCGTTTAGCGCGGAACGTAATTCCCCCGAGTGAGAAAAATCTAGCTGGCTAAAAGACGCGCGACAAACAGGTGTGGCTCGCGTGTCAGTTTCTAAGTGTCGATACATCTTGTCGCATTTTATGCAACCAGTCGCTCAAAGTGCATCATTGCGTTGCGTGATTCGGCCAAGAGAAAGCTAGGAAATACTAGTACGCGTTCGCTGTTTTTATTTGCGACTTGAATAAAGAGTGAGACAGCGGCGACGGCTGCGGTGGCTCATTAACCTTGTCGGATCGGCGCGGCTTCTCGTGTATATCCGCCGGAGATAAATATCCATTAATAGGACGACGAATAGTTTAGCGTGCACGAGCACTCGAGTCCTTTGAGTCGCGTTTCCCTCGCCGCGACGCCGTCGCGAAATTGCACGGATAATTTAACGCTTATATATCGGTTTCGTTAACACGTACATGGAGAAAATGTTGTAGTA